TCGATATCGCGACATGATTACACAGTTCTTTCTACCAAAATTGAATGATATTGATGTACCCAATATGTGGTTTCAACAAGACGGTGCCACATGTCATACAGCCCGTGAAACAATTCAATTACTGCATGAGACATTTCCCGGTCGTGTACTCTCTCGTTTCGGTGATCAAAATTGGCCTCCTAGATCGTGTGATTTAACACCATTAGACTTCTTTTTATGGGGTTATTTGAAATCACAAGTCTATCTCAACAAGCCCACAACCACCCGTGCATTAAAGGAGGAGATTCAACGCTGCATCAACGAAATTCAGCCACATTTATGCAGAAGGGTCATGGAAAATTTCGACAAAAGAGTGCGCATGTGCATGCAAAGCCGTGGAGGCCATTTGTCCGATGTGTTATTCCATACATAACCCTATCCTATGTACTTTATGAGTCAATAAAAATATAACTATTAAAAGACTAAAAATGGCATTTTCTATTTAATTTAAATCTTGCGTTAATTTTGGGACACCCTTTATATATATACACTAAGTTACATATAAATCCGAACACCCAGTTTAAATGGTTTTATTTTAATAAAATTGTGTATAAGTACTTAATGAAGCATAATAAGTAAATGATAAAAATTTCAAAATGATTGCACTGCTTTAAAGCCCTTTGACCTTTAATAATGTGTGGATGCACCCTGATGTGCTACGCATTCTCCAACGCGCCTAGGCATGCTTCTGATCAGGTGGTCAATGTCCTCCTGTGGTATCTCATTCCAGTCAACCACCAACTCCTCTCGAAGTGCTTCTAGAGTCTGAGGAGGACGTTGCAAATTGAGCAATCTCCTACCCATCATATCCCACACGTGCTCAATTGGGGATAAGTCGGGAGATCTTGGTGGCCATGGTAACAATGTGACATCATTATGTTGAAAGAAGTCTATGGTGACTCTTGCAACATGTGGTCGGGCATTATCTTGTTGGAAAGTTGGATCTGCCAGGGTGTCAAGATAGGGTCAAAGATGGGGTTCTAGAACTTCGTGGATATAACGCTGCGCGTTCATGTTACCTCTGATGAAGATTAAAGGTGACCTGGAACCATAAGATATAGCACCCCAAACCATAACTTCAACAGTGTGATGAACATGTTTTTCAACAAAAAACTGTGGATTCCTCCTTTCACCACGTCGCCTTCTAACCCTGGCACGATCATCGTGCATGCCTAAACAAAATCGAGACTCGTCACTAAAGACAAATACTGTTTTACATTCCTGATCCCAGAGTGACCGTTGTCTGCACCACTCAAGGCGATTACGTCGGTGTTCTCGAGTGTGGCCGTTATGAAAACAAGCCAAAACTTCTCATTCGTCGGTCTCCGTACTCTAGGCATCGTAACCGATCGTAAAGGATGTCAAGAACCAAAATCCGCCAACGTTGATTCTTTACTGCGGCTGAAATATTCATTTTTAGAGCGTTAGTGAATTAAAAAAAAACAGTATAAAAACCGGAATGTCCAACTGATAAGGCTAAAAATTGTTTCACTTGTTATTTACAGTAAGATAAATACATTCACCAACTTATATTAAAATAAAACCATTTAAACTGGGTGTTCGGATTTATATGTCACTTAGCATATATAACAAAAAATAGGAAAATAATGGTCAAAATCCGCAAAAAAGGGAACGTGAATTCGAGCAGAAAATAGGATAGGTAACCCGAGCAATACGGATTTCTGCTTGTTGACTTCATCAGGCACGAAATAAATGCACATATGCAACCACAAAAGTAGATACACATGCCCATACATCCGGATACGGGTGTAACCTGTGGAAGCGTAGATGGAGAGGGAAAAAAGTTGACACAAGTTGGGGACTTCGTGTGTTAACTTTTTTTTGTAGATGTAGATCCTTTGGGCTTGAAGAACCACTGCAAGTGGGTATAAGCGGCCGCGTGGTTGTGGTTAGTTGTCGCCTTGAATACTCGAGGTCTTCTAGCCATTTTTTACTACAATGTGTAGGTTGGCTCTTGTTGTGGACTTCGTGTGTCGGTTTTTCCCCTCTCCATCTTCGTTTCCTCAGGTTACATCCGTATCCAGATGTGTGAGCATGTGTATCTACTTTTGTAGTTTTATATGTGCATGTGTGAGCATGTGTATCTACTTTGGTAGTTTTATATGTGCATTCATTTTGAGCCTGATGAAGCCAACCAGCAGAAATACGTATCGCTCGGGTTACCTATCCTATTTTCTGCTCGAATCCACTTTCTTCCTTTTTGCGGATTTTGTCCATTATTTTCCTACTTTTTGTTATATATATATATATATATATGTCGGCGTCAAACGCTGAAATGCCTAGTCAGACCCCGTATTGCCGGCAAACACCGTAAGTTTGATTATTACAACGTTTGACTAAGCATTCCAGTCATTCCCTGTATTGACTGAACAATTTCAGTCAAACACCGTAACAACCACATAAACTTCGATACTGCATTCGCCTATTTTAGTCAAACGCTGTAATCAATACAGTTTTGCACCAATGCAGTACATATTATAACACGGTACCTACTACTTTATCAATAATGGTAAAAGAAAAATAATCAAGCATGAATTAATCTAAAAGGAAAGAAGAATAGATTATTATTACATTATTGTTTTTTTAATCAAGTATTTACTATATATACGAAATCCAGCAACTGGATGCTGCTGTTGAGCAAGCCTATGTACGTTATAATTTAGGTTAGGTTCTCAAAATTATAAAAATTAACTTATCTCCTTTAACTCATTTGTATTCCATGGTGGTTTTTTCTTATTCACACTGTCATAGTATTCACTTAGTTCCTTCTGAAACAGTTCTGAATGCTACGACATCTTTACAAACACAAAAAAGACGATGTGTATATGTCGACGTCAAACGCTGAAATTCGCCCTTCCCTGAAATGCCTAGTCAGTCCCCGTATTGCCAGCAAACACTGTAACAGTTTCATTATTACAACGTTTAACTAAGCATTTCAGTCATTCCATGTAACGACTGAACAATTTCAGTCAAACACCGTAACAACCACATTAACTTCGTTACTGCATTCGCCTATTTTAGCCAAACGTTGTAATCAATACAGTGTTGCTCCAATGAAGTACATAATATAACAAGGTACTACTTTATCAATAATATTAAAAGAAAAATAATCAAGCATGAATTAATTTAAAAAGAAAGAAGAATATACTAAAACGTTGTCTTTATTATTACGAGTACATTATTCTGGACATTATTCATTAATGTATTAAATCAACAAGAAATATCCTGAAACTATCGAAAGAAATATAAAACAATAAATACACATTTAAAAAAAATGCAGAACTGTGAGTAGTGACAAACGAATAAAAGTTACATAGAATTATCTTATATATTATTTCAAACATTATTTGTTAGCGCATGTTAGACTCATATGGCATCTTGCATTACAAAGGAGTTTTTTTTAACAAACACATCTATTGGAGAAACACTGCTTTTCGCTGGTTTACAGGAACACTTAAAATGTCCTTGGCTTCCCTCTAGCGATAGTGACTGCACAGCTTCACGTATTGATAAAACTTTTTCATCGCGTTAAGTGCCCTAGGGGCTAAAAAACTATTTTCTGGGGCACACTCGGCAAAGCCGCTTTGTGGGCTGCTAGAGTAGCATAATTGTACAAGATACATGCAAGAAAATCCTGAAAATAAGTCGATTTTCACAAATGACAGGTGTCTGATCGAAGTGCGAATAGGGACCTTCCGGACTTCATTGGAGCAAACCGCTTGGTGGGAGGTTAGATATAATGAATAATCGCGATTTATCGAAAAAAATCCTGGACCTAACTCGACTTTGGAAAATTATTATTTTACACCGCGTTAAGAGCCCTAGGGGCTGAAAAACAATGTTCCGGGGCACACTCGGCAAAGCCGCTTTGTGGGTTGCTAGAGTAGCATAATTCTACGAGATACATGTAATAAAATCCTGGACCTAAATCGCTTTTCGAAAATGATGATCGTGTTTTCGAAGTGTTTAATACTAAAATTGAGGTAGGGGGTATTTTGGGGGGGCTGTAGGCCATGTAGCGCGACATCGATTACAAGAGACATAAAGTATAGCTGTCTCATGCGATTAAGTTCAAATCCGCAGGTGTATATTATTATTTTTGCAACATATCAATTTTTTTCCCCTTACCCCCAATTTTGGAGTTCCTCTTGGGGAGGAGGGGTATACTCGCACAATACATAAAAACATTATTACGTGAAAACCGCATCGATTTACGCATATTTGAAGCCAAAAAAACGTGGTTGTATGTTGCAATGACAAATTTTGTGCACTGCTGCCTTTATAACGTTTTCGATCGCGCTCGATCGATCGGTTCTTCAGCCACACACACACACACCCTCCTACCATATGCGGTCCCTCCACCACCCCTGTTCCAGGCAACCTCAAACCCTTGAGGAGTGGGGGGAAGAGCACTCTGCTCCTCCCTCCTCTCCCGCCCGAAGGCCTGGCGTGGCGCTGCGTGGTTCAGGCCGCTGCGCATTCCCCGAGTGTGTGCTGCCGAACGAGCTAACCCCCCTCCCCAATTTTGCCCCTTTTTCCCGAAATTTGACTCGATCGCGCACGCGTCGCGGAAGCACGTGGTGGACGTTTCATCCAACTGTCGGTTCTCGACTTTTATGGACGGCCTCTTTCTTGGCGGTCCTGCGCTGGGGGCTTTGTCCTAAGCCCCGCATTTAGGTTGGTGTGCCTTCGCTCTTTCCTCGTCGACTGCAGTCATTTTGCTGTTTGTCTTCGTCTCCTGAGGTTAGCCCCGAGTCCGTGCTTGACTCTGTCCACCTCAGTCGACAGGCTTCTTTTTGTCCACCCGTTGTACACGGGCTGTTCTTTCCCCTCTTGGGTGTACAACTATTGTCGGTCTTCTCCCCTTTTCTTTGGCCTCATCAGCTGCTAGGGCCAAATTTCTTCTTGTTGCAGCTGGCTTTTCGGTCTTTTATGACGCCTTATTGTTCTTGGGTCGTAATCCAAGGCGCTTTAATCAGCACATTTCGATGTCTTTCGTTCTTTTCAAAGAACTTTCGGGCCCTCTCTCTCATCTGGATTACGACCGGTACCTGTCGTAGTTCGTCATATAGCACTCTGTTAGGTACATACCACGGTGCGTCCACCGCCTCACGGAGTGTTATGTTTTGTTGAGCTTGGAGCCTCTTCTTCATCGTTTTGGATACGTAGCCCCAAGCTACTGCTGCGTAAGTCATGATTTGGAGCAGCACCATCTGAATCATGATGGTCTTATTCTTTAAGGACACTTTGCTTCTTCTGCCTATTAAAGGTCTTAGTTTGGAGCGTGCCATCTTCACTTTCTGCACCTGGCCCTCGACATGGTTCTTCCAAGTGAGTTTTTGGTCCATCTTGACTCCAAGGTATGTGCTGGAGTCCTTCCAGTCGACCTCAACTTCTTCGTCTCTTCTCCAGCCTCTCTCCATTCAGGTGGTCGACATCTTTATTTTGGTTTGAGGTAATCTTCGATTTCTTCGGAACAGTACCGCTTCGGTCTTCTCAGGGTTGAGACGGATCTTCCACTTGATGGACCATTCCTCTAGGTTGGTAGTTGCTCGTTGCAGATATTCCGTAACCATGCGGGGTCTCGTACTTTCTGCCGCATATGCTGTATCGTCCGCATACACATACAGTTGCGTTTGTGGAGTCTTCGGGATGTCTGAACTGTAGATTGCATACAGCAGGGGTGATAGAACCGCTCCCTGCGGTACTCCTGCCTCCACAGTCCTCGTCGTCGAAGTGGCTTTACCAATCCTAATTCGGAATTTACGGTGCTTCAAATAGGACTTCACCAGTTGGATTGTTGGATTATCCCCGTTGAGTATCCGAGGTCTACCATCTTGTAGATCAGTCCGTCATGCCAAACAGTGTCGAACGCCTTAGCGGCAACCATGAACACAGCACCCACGGCCCGCCGAGTCTGGAACGATTTAGTTGCCACCTCGACCAGCCTTAGGACCTGGTGTTCTGCTGAATGTTCGCTTCGGAATCCGAACTGTTCGTCTGGACTACTCGGAGTTCGTCAGTTTCGTTACTCAGTCTTCGTTCGATTACCCTTTCCGCAATCTTGCTCAGTGCCGTCAACAGGCTTATCTGTCTGTAGTTTTGGGGGAACCTTGGGTCTTTCCCAGGTTTTGGTATGTTGATCACTTCGGCTACTTTCCAGTGTTCTGGAAAGTATCGGTGTCTCAGTATGGCGTTGACAATGTTGGTGATTGCCATTATCGCTTTCCTCGGGAGTCTCTTCAAGACTCTGTTCCCAATTTTGTCTACACCCGGTGCTTTCTTCACCTTGAGTCTTCCGATGATTTCCCTTACCTCGCCTGGAGAGGTCATGTCTTCAATGGCTCTTCCTCCTCTTACAGCTCTCCTCGATCTTCTCATCACCTCGTCGATGAAGTCTTCGTCTTCATCGGGGTGAGTATTGAGAGTACACTGTCTCTGAAGGTTGTCAGCAAAAGCTTCTGCCTTCTCTTCGGTTGTGTACACCATCCCCTGTTCGCTGTGTATTGGGGGGATGGATGTCTTCTGTTTCTGAGGATTTTAGCCAAGTTCCACATTCCTGGAGATAGTTCTTCGAGTTTCGTATCCCAGGTGCTCTGATGATGCTGCTTCAAGGCGTCTCTTGCCTGTCTTGTCAGTCTGTTTGCCACCATGATGTCCGTGGGGCTTCTGGTCTCCTGGGCTACTCTTCGGGCTCTATTTCTTTCGGTGATCTTGCGATTTACCTCGTCAGGTAGATCCCTGAACCTGTTTGGTTGCGTTATGTCTTCCACGGTGGTTGCGGCTTCTAACGCAGCCTTAATCTTCCTTTCTAGGTCCGTGACCGCTTCCTCTATGCCTTCAGGGCATGAAGTAGTGGTCCTAGTGAATAGTGCAGTCTGATTCTAAATCGCTGCCAATCCACTCTCTTCACTGTTCTTTGCTCCACAGGTGTTCTCCCATCTCCCATATGGAGAAAGATGGGGTTGTGGTCTGAGCTTCCCTCTTGCAAGGCGCCGATGGTCGTGCGCAGGTCGATTTCTTTCATATCTATGACGTCTGGTCTACCTCCGTTGCTGGGGTATATTGTGGGTTCATCCGGACCTATCATGGTGTATCCAGGTTCATCCATTAGTCTTTCGAGAACAGAGCCATGACTGTTTCTATTTCTTGAGCCCCAAATGGTGGACTTCGCATTTAGATCACCTACGATCACGGTACTATTTCCCAGTGCAGTGATACAGGTGACATCTTCCAGATGAATCGTCGATGTAGGTGGTACGTATATCGATACGATGTTCAGAGGGCCGTGGTCTGTTGTGCGTACCGTCACTCCTACGGCCTCTGCAGATCTCAGTTCTGGCAGTCCCAGTTCCCAGTGGGCAATGCTAATCTTGACAGCAAGTAGCACCCCACCTCCGGTTCTGTTCCGGTCCTTTCTGTATGTCGTGTATCCCTGTATCGTCCAGTGTGGGATTTCCCCAGAGCCACGTTTCTTGTAGCCATTATATCATAGTTCCCTCTTGTTAGGACTTCGCCTATCTCATATTTCTTGTTGGAGACTCTATGAGCGTTCCAACTCAATATCTTCAGGCCCCTATTTGCAATAGTTTTTGGAGTGCCCATTTGGAGTTTCGGTCAGTGCTATCCTTTTTAGGCGTATTTTCGCTCCAGATGAGCGAAATACGCTTTCTTGGCAGCCGGATTTTTCATCACCAGCGACATCACTTGAGATGCGTATTTGGTGGCAAAGTCTGTCAGCTCCTCGACGTCGCTGTCTTTGGCACTGCTGGCCTGAGCGGCTTGGGCCCCTTTAGGTGTCCCAGCTGTCATGGGCGTAGCCAGGGAGTTCTCCAGGGTGGGGCAAGAAAACAAGGAAACTCAACTTAACATAAAAAATTTATTAAAAAAACATGTTGGGTTTATATATAAGTATTTTATTTTAGCATTAGTTTTCTACAATTCTTGCTAAACCTGGACAAAATTTCTTTTTCAAACTCATCCTTCGCGTTTAAAACTCTTTTTCGATGGACGCTCATCATGCAAAGTCCAACAAGCCGATTTTCCAACATTGTTGATCGTAACCAAGTTTTTACCCGACGTAAGGTGCTGAATGATCTTTCTATTGTGCAGGTAGTGCAAGGCTGCGCGAGTGAAATTTGGAGGGCTTTTTTAATGCCTGGGTAAAAAGATTGCGCCTCTTTAACTAGTTCAACTAGTTCAATCTCTTTTAACTCCGAGACTGACTTCTTTTTTTCTTTCCACAGATTATACCATAGTTCCATTTCAGCCAAAATCTCGTTTAAGTTGTAGTAGTCACAAAAGACTTTAACTTTTTTTAAAAACTCAGCAAATGATAAAGAAAGAAATATACTAGGGTGTAATGAAAGCAACTCGTAGGCTGGCAGATTTTCATTAGAGAATCGCTGTCCTAAAGACATTATCAATGAATCCAGATACGGAATTATAAAAGATCTCGTCCAGTACTCAGTACCAGAAGCTGCTGGAGGATTTGCACGAAGCGTTTGTCGGTTTGTAACTCTCGGCAAGTCCGTATTAATGTCTTCGGCTATTTTTTCGGCTTCTTTTAGTATGTATACGCTTTCGGCACTAACATTTTCCCGGTGTGTTTTTAAAAGGTCTGTAATTCTTTTTACATGATTCATACATTGTAATAAGTCTAAACTTTTTGACTGCAAAACATTCACAACTGGTTGCAATAATGCAGAATATTTTGCTATTAAGCAGACACTTACAATAAACTCGGAATTTGAAGCAGCACAATGCATTTGAAAAGCAGCTTTTCTCGTAGCTGCATTACCATCTGTTGAGCGCGTTTTTAAAGCAGCCACGATTTCTACATAATGCTCTCTAAAAATGGCGATGCTTCTGTATTTTTGAGACCAGCGGGTCTCACAGAACATCGGCACGTTTGGAACGAATTTTCGCCGAAGTGGGGATTCTCGGAAAAATCTTATTATTTCTTTTATTGTGGCCACTGTATTTCGAATCATTGCTAACTGGTTTAAATCGTTCACCACTAAATTAAGTTTGTGACTAGCACAATGAAAATACAACCCCCGCATGTACTTTTCCCGGAGAATTTTTTGTACCCCGCCGTCCTTTCCAGCCATGGTGGAACATCCATCGTACCCTTGTCCGACGCACTTTTCAGGGTCAAGGCCTGCGTTGGCTAGGAAATTATCAATGGCGGAGGCTATAGAAATAGCATCCATGGCACTTAGTTCCACGAACCCCAGAAATTCTTCTCGAATCATCATAAGTTCTTCATCAAAAAACCTCACACCAATAGAAAGTTGTTCTTTTCCAGAAATATCGCTGCTTTCATCGGCTAGTATACTGTATGCGCATGCCTTCCTGATATCCATAATGATATCCTCTCTTATGACCTCACCACAAAGGTCAATAATTTCATTCTGAATTTGTGGTGACAGGTAGGTGGCATTTTTTGGGCCATTCTCCATGTGTGTTTTCAAGTTTTGGTCACCAGCTTCAATTTTAAGTTTAATCAGGTCTTGGAAAACTCCCTCGTGAAGTTCTTTGCCCCTTAAAGGCAAATCATGTGTCCCACAAAAAACGACGGTTGAAATTATTGATGCTAAAATCTTCTTATTCGCCTCTATTTCACTATTGTGAGCAGATATCAGCTGCACATCAACTGGTAAGTTCTCATCGAAACATTTTGCAGCTGTAGCTGCTGATTTATGCCATTGAGATGATGTATGCGATTTGGCAAACTCGTGCATATCTTTATAGCGGGTAAACGGCCGCACTATAAATGAGCCTAGGACACCACGCACATTAGTAGGAGGAAAAAGTACACAATAAATGCACAAGGCGCCCTTTAACTTTTTTGAGTATGCAAGCCAAGGGGCATATTCAGATAGCCAGCAGAATTTAAATTTCCTCTTCAACTGAACAGCATCCTTGGAAAAGTCATAACTGGCAGGTGGAGACCAACAGTTTTTCAAAACTTCTCTTCTTTGAACTGAAGTCATACTAAATGAACGTCCAACCCAGTTACCAAGGTCATTTTCATAATAGGATTCATCAAATGTTTTGCCGGATCCTGACGGTAGTGAAGATTGACTCGGTGTATCCAAAACGACTGGGGTGCTAGAGCCGCAAGAACTGACATTTTGTTTTGACTTTTCTTCCCCGCCGCTATCACTCCCGCTCTCGCCACTACTTTTATCTGTTTGCTTCCTTTTCTGACTACCTAAAAAATATCCAAGTATACACAAAAGGTACATATTGTATGCTCAGCCTGCGCCAAATTTATTCTCATTGCTACTATCACTAGCAT